GCCAGCAGAAGGAAGGAAATTATAAAGATTACAGCAGAAATAAATGATATATAAACTAAAACAAAACCAAACAAAAAACAGATCAATGAAACCAGAGCTGGTTCTTTGAAAAAAAGTTATTACAACTGAGAAGACACTTAACCAGACTTATCAAGAAAAAAGAGAAAGGACCCAAATAAATAAATGACAAATGACAGAGGAGAATTAATAACAAACACCACAGAAATGCAATTGCCATAGATTATTAAAAAACTATATGCCAAGAAATTGGACAACATAGAAAAAATGGATAAATTCCTAGAAAAAATATGGCCTACCAAAACTGAAACAGGAAAATAAAAAAATTGAACAGACCAATTATCAGCAAAGAAATGGAATCAGTAATCAGAACCCTCCCAACAAACAAAAGTTCATGACCAGATGGCTTCACTGACAAATTCTACCAAACATTTAAAGAAGAGTTAATACCTATTCTTCTCAAACTACTCCAAAAACTAGAAGAGTAAGGAAAACTTCCAAATTCATTCTATGAGGCCAGTATTACCCTGATACCAAAACCAGATAAAGACACTACAAAAAAAAGAATTATAGGCCATATCTCTGATGAACATAGATGCAAAAATCCTGAATAAATTATTAGCAAACTGAATCCAACAAAACATTAAAAAAATCATTCACCATGATCAAGTGTGTCTATTCCTAGGTTGCAAGAGTGGGTCAATATTTGTAAATCAACCAATATGATACATCATATCAATGAGAAAGGATAAAAACCATATGATCATTTCAGTAAATGCAGAAAAAGCATTTGACAAAGTACAACATCCATTCACGATAAAAACCCTCAACAAAGTGGTTTTCAAGGGAGCATACCTCAACATAATAAAGGCCATATATGAAAAACCCACAGCTAATATCCTCCTTAACAGGGAAAAAGAGTTTTTCCCCTAACATCAGGAACCACACAAGGCTATCCATTCTCACTCCTTTTATTCAACACCATACTAGAATTCCTAGCCACAGAAATCAGACAACAAAAAGAAATGTAAGGCATCCAAATCTGTAAGGAAGGTGTAGAGCTGTCACTATTTTCATGTGATATGACATTATATATAGAAAACTCGATTCCACCAAAAAACTGCTAGAACTGATTAATTAAGTCAAGTCAGGATATAAAATCAATCTCCAGAAATCCGTTGCATTTCTATATATCAATAATAAAGGAGCAGAAAGAGAAATTAAGAAAACCATCCCACTTACAATTGCACAAAAAATAATAAGATACTTAGGAATAAACCTAATAACCAAAGAGGTGAAAGACCTATACTCTGAACACTATAAAACACTGATGAAAGAAATTAAAGATGACACCAAAAAATGGAAAAACATTCCATGCTGATGGGTTGGGAGAACAAATATTGTTAAAATGTCGATACTACCCAAAACAATCTACACATTTAATGCAATCCGTATCAAAATACCAACAATGTGTTTTTACAGAACTAGAACAAACAATCCTAAAACCTGTATGGAACCACAACAGACCCTGAATAGCCAAAGTAATCTTGAAAAAGAAAGCAAAGCTGAAGGCATCACAATTCCAGACTTCAAATTCTACTACAAAGCTGTCGTAATCAAAACAGCCTGGTAATGGCACAAAAACAGACACACAGATCAACAGAACAGAACAGAAAACTCAGAAATAAACCCACAATTATATATATGGTCAATCTTCAACAAAGCAGAAAAGAATATCCACTGGAAAAAAAAAAAATGCTGTTGGGAAAACTGGAGAGCCAAAGAATATAACTGGACCACTTTCTTATACCATACACAAAAATTATTTCAAAATGGATTAAAGACCTAAATGTGAGTCTTCAAACTATAAAAATCCTAGACGACAGCACAGGTAATAACTTCTCTGCCATCAGCTGTAGCAACTTTTTCTAGATAGGTCTCCTGAAGCATGGGAAACAAAAGCAAAAATAAACTATTGGGACTACATCAATAAAAAGCTTCTGCACAATGAAGGAAACAATCAACCAAACGAAAAGGCAACCTATGGAATGGGAGAAGGTATTTACAAATGACATATCTGATGAAGGGTTAGTATCCAAAATCTATAAAGAACTTAGAGAACTTAAACCCAAAACCCAAAGAATCCAATTTAAAAAGGGGCAGAAGACATGAACAGACATTCCTCCAAAGAAGACATACTGATGGCCAACAGACACATGAAAAGATGCTCATCATCACTTATCATCAGGGAAATGCAAATCAAAATTACAATGAGGTATCACCTCACATCTGTTAGAATGACTAAAATCAACAACACAAGAAACAACCAGTGTTGGCGAGGATGTGGAGAAAGGAGAACGCTCTTGCGCTGTTGGTGGGATTGAAAACTAGTGCAGACACTCTGGAGAACAGTACAGAGGTTCCTCAAAAAGGTAAAAATAGAACTACCCCAGGATCCAGTAATCACACTATTGAGTATTTACCCAAAGAATACAAAAACATTAATTCAAAGAGAGACTTGTTTCCCGATGTTTATAGCAGCATTATTTACAACAGCCAAGATATGGAAGCAGCTCGTGTCCATCAATTTTTTTTTTTTTTAAGTATCAGCACTCTTGTTTCTTTTTTCCTTTCGATAGTTATCTACATCATAGGTACTACATGTGTCTTGGCAAATGATAATAAAAAAAAGAATCTGTGCAGTGTAAAGAAAATTTGGAGACAATGCTGTTCTGTTTGGCCTATTAGTGAATTTATCTTCATTAAGTATTAAGAAATGACTGAAGATATTATACCAATTTATGAATTTGTAAGGAAATTTTCATACCAATGAAGCAGAGTAAGTAAATGTTTATGATTAACACAGAAGATCTTATTAAACCACTGCACTGACAATATAATCATAAAATAAAAATTAAGGAGTAATTAAATGAGTTAAATCCTTTATGTATTTAGACATCAGCTTGTGTGTACTCTTTCATAAACATATTACTTTTACCTAAGCAAGATAATTTTGGACATTATCAATGAGTTTAGTAATGAGTAGATGATCAGAAGGCTATTACAGACTACTCTTTTACAAACTTAAAAGTAATGTAATAGTTTTGTTGCAGAAGAACACTTACCTTTTGGGGGGGGGTAAAACCCTTAAAATTAGAAACTATTATTTGGTCTATAACGTAAGTGTCCGGTAATTCAAAGAGCTAACTGGTGGTTTTTAAGATAAAAGGACTGTTCTTTGGCTAGCTTTCAATGAAAGAAGTTCATGAGTGGCAGTGTGCAGAGAGGTTGAGGCCAGGGAGATGAGAGGCTGCAGTGAATCCTAATGGGGCTACTTACTAATTGTGTTACTTTGAGTAAATTTCATAATCCTTTGTTCCTTGATTTCCTCATCCGGAAGTAAGAAAGGCATAAACAGATGCTACTTCATAAGATTATTTTGAGGTTCATAGAGTTAATATGTGAAAAGTGCTCATTATTTTTCAGATTTTAAGGACAGCTACGATTATACATAAATATACTTATAGTCCAATAAATTTTCATATGGTAACATTTCTGCTGAATATATACTTAATTAATCCAGCAATTAACTGTTCCATCTTAAGTATGAACCGAAAAATAACTCATTGATTTGCAAAATACTTTATGTTGCCTCAGACTTCAGTCAATATACAGAGACAGTTGCAATATAGTCATTACATACACATACATGACACAGATAAATGCTTCAGGTCTGAAATAATACATCCAAACAAACAGGATAAAAGATTATTTAACAACTTCCACATACCTACCTCAACTGCTTTCCTTGGTTCTTTCTATGTCTACTTTGTTATGTATTTTTCTTGTCTTTAAATGTTACTACCAAAGTATACCACCTCTGTTTCCTATTAAAGTTTACATGGAAATTTGATATTGAACTCTGTGTACTTTGCGTGCAAAGATGATACCTATATTATTCTACACAGGAAACAATTAAAAAAGTAGAGAAGTAAAACTGATAGATATGAGTGACTCAAAACATCTGTGGATTTTAGAAATAATTGTATGAGGTATTAGAGGGTTTAATTATAAGCAAATATGTTCTGAATTATTTTCAAAAATAATTTTGTTACAGAAGAACATTTACTTATTTCCTTTTAAAAGTTTCTACTTGAATTAAGAAGAGTTGCCTTTCAATGTATATTTCAATGTTTTAATATTTTCAAAATCATTTATCATCATCTTATATTGTATTTAGGTGAATTTTAATTTGTTTAAAAAAATTAAACAGTAGTTTACATTTCATAATATTTAAAGATTGTATTTTTTTTTTTAATTTTTTTTTTTCAACGTTTATTTATTTTTGGGACAGAGAGAGACAGAGCATGAACGGGGGAGGGGCAGAGAGAGAGGGAGACACAGGATCGGAAACAGGCTCCAGGCTCTGAGCCATCAGCCCAGAGCTTGACGGGCTCGAACTTCATGACCGCGAGATCGTGACCTGGCTGAAGTCGGACGCTTAACCGACTGCGCCACCCAGGCGCCCCTAAAGATTGTATTTTTAAGTAATCTCTACACCCAACGTGGGCTCAAACTCATGACCCTGAGATCAAGAGTCACATGCTGACTGAGCCAGCCAGGTGCCCCTTTATGAGGGCATAGTATTTAACGTATGATGAATAATCTACATTTTCTTCATATGAATATTGTTAGTGTGGTCTCAGGTAAAGAACTTGATAGCTATAGGTTTCTGACTTTTATCAAGCCTCTCAAAACTCATGTATTATTAAAAATATGAAAATTTAACATTACCTTACCACATACTACTATTTACTTATACTTACATCAATTAATTTTAATTGAAGATATAATTTATTGATTTACAATGAATTAAAGACTTCTCAATATTAAATTAATATTGTTAAAATATACTAAAATTCATCATCTCTATATCTTTTCTGAGGAAAATAAAACTTTTCAAAAAGTAAATCTAGACATACCTCTAACATTAATTGTGTAAATTCTTCATTACTAAGGAATGTAGGTTTCCAGTCCTGTCGAATTTCACTGGCATCTGACTGTGCAGTGATTTCTGTAAAGATTATTTGATACATTAGTGGCATACTCCAAACACCGGGTAGGGCTAAAGGGTGGTACTAAAGTCCAACAACCTGCCTTCTCTCCTATTTAAAATGAGAACCATGGGCAATAACATGTATTGGTCTAGGTAGGTATTAGAAGGCCCAGTGATGAACTGCATGGGCTAATGTGGCAAGCTATCTCCTTGGATTGGGTCTCCTGGGAATACCAATCTCTGGTTTTTCTCTGGGAGCGCTGACAACCTGTATTGTGGAAGGCCTGAGACTGCTTCCTACTTGACATAATGACCAAACAGGAATCAGAAGAAGAAGATTAGTATCAAGCATCAGAACGAATTCTTTTTCCTCATCCTTCTCTTGACATTTAAATGATGGAACCTAGAGCAGTCGTAAGGACATAAGCCTGGAGGAAAGGAGCCAAGGAGGTCAGTCCATCATTCTGCTTTTACTGAAATGACCACAGGCTTGCCTACTGCCAAGCAGCAAGATTCCTCCCAATTTGAGGTGCTCTATTCTTCAACGTTTATTTATTTTTGGGACAGAGAGAGACATAGCATGAACAGGGGAGGGGCAGAGAGAGAGGGAGACACAGAATCGGAAACAGGCTCCAGGCTCTGAGCTATCAGCCCAGAGCCCGACGCGGGGCTCGAACTCACGGACCGCGAGATCGTGACCTGGCTGAAGTCGGACGCTTAACCGACTGCGCCACCCAGGCGCCCCGAGGTGCTCTATTCTTAATAATCAAGGAGACTAAATTAAGATTTGGGGCAAAAACTCCCAAGTAATAATCCCAGAGTGATTTTTGCTTAGTGTCCTCTTGCATGTTTTTAAACTGGTCAAAATTTGGAGATCCCTGGTTTGGGCACACATTTTAACAAAATTATTAGAGTTTATTTTGCAACATTTTTCTAATAGATTTAGATATGAGAAAGTTATTCCTTAATGATGAAATCTCAACTATTTAGGTAATAAATACTCTTCCATTTTTTAATGCAGACATCTTAAAACAACCAAAACAAAAATCTATGTCATAGATATTACTGCACAAAAACATATTCTACTTTGCTGTGAAAAGTACGGACCAGGCTGTTTTGATTTTGTGTTATCAGATATATAAATCAAGCATATTAAACTGTCACCCAACTTTTGGCGTACTGGAAATGCCTGTACTACTAATATGAAGAGTAACTAAAAATCTAGCTACTAATTCTGTGGAATATAGTCATGTTTTTCACATTCACACCAATTATATACATTCAGAAAAAAGATTTAAATCCACAAGCAAATCCCATCAACTTTAGTTAAACACAGGCTTATTTTAGAGTATTAATAATAAGTATCTAAGAATTCCCTTTAAATTTAAGGTAAATTTTACTTTTCTGAGAATGATATACCCAATTTTGAAAAAAAAAAAACTGATCTACTTAATGCCAGTATTAATCTTCAATTATCAGGGGCAAATGTATGCATATTATTTCATTTCATTCAGCAATCATTTATTGAGCTGCAATGTCTGAGGGGACTAAGTGTGCTAACAAGAGACACTAAGGTTAGTGAGAATACTAACTGCAGAGGTAAAATGTAATAATAAAAGTGAAGACAAGCAATTATGACACATTTACAGAAGGATCAACAGAATTTGGTAACTGTGATGTAGTACTAAGGAAGATGGAAAAAATTCAAAAGTCTTTTCAGGCTTGAGTCCTGGGGCCTGAAATGATGGTGGTATAAAAATGTAAAAAGGGAAGTTGAGAGAAAGAGGTGACTTGAGAAAATGAAAATGAGTTCAGTTTTAGATGCACTGAGGTTGAGGACATGCAAAAGAAAGATCCAGAAGTTATCTGGATACAAAAGACTGAAAAGTTTGCATCTAAAAATACAGATATGGTAGTTTAATAGGGAGACAATACTTGAAGCTATGGAATGAGATAACCAAGGGAAAGAGTGAAGAGAAAGCAAAAGCACAAAAGACAAGACATTTAGAGGGCAAAAAAATAAAGTTTCAGTTAGAAAGTGGGGATGAATGAAGAAGTGCAGTATAACACAGACCAAGAAAAAAGAAAACCAGTGGAGGATGGATTAAAACTTCCAGTGCATTAGGTATAAGAAAAAGCTACTGCTATTATCTGATTGGTAGCAGAATGGGTGGGGCTTATGGCATTTGTGAAATTACCAAAAATAATTTCAGAGAGTGATGGAGCGTAAAAATCAGCTTGGTAATGCATGACTCAGTGAGCCCGGGAGGAGTGAATAAAGGTACTCGTTACAAATTCTCCTTTTGAGAAGTTTTGTGGTTTCACTTGCAGCTAGAAAAGGAAATGTTCCAAGTTTTTCATCTATTATCTCTGTTACCAAAATACTTAATATTCTTTAACTTTTTCTTTTCATGACTCATTTATAGTCAAAGTGATTTTCTTCAATTAACAAATAATCACTTTATTTTATAGACAGTGTTTAATTACTAGACATATACTGAAATCTTCTTTAAAAAAAAATTTTTTTTACATTTATTTTTGAGAGACAGAGAGAGACAGAGTACAAGTTGGGGAGGGGCAGAGAGAAGGAAAGACAGAATCCAAAGTAGGCTGCAGGCTCGGAGCTGTCAGCACAGAGCCTAACACGGGGCTCAAACTCACAAACCGTGAGATCATGACCTGAGCTAAAGTCGGACGCTGAACCGACTGAGCCACCCAGGCGCCCCTAAAATCTTTTAAAATGGCAATATAAGGCCCAAATGATGTGGCTCCTGCCTTTCTTTCAAATATACCCATAATTTTCCAACTCAACTATGCTCCAATTACACTGAACTCTCCCTGCTTTTGCACACAATACTTCCTATTCCCTCCGGGTGAAATGTGGTTCTCTTTACTTAACCTAAAAGGAAGACTCAGTTGAAAAATCAGCTATTTTTAAGCCCTTCCTGACATTTTTTTCCTGTGTTCTCACATGTTTACGGTTTGTGACCACTACTCACATTTTAAATATCTACAGGTGAGGAATAAATAAATTAGTTGTAAATTAGTTATTCACACGTTTGTCTTCCTTGGCTTAAATTTAATTGAGGGCCAGGACTGCTACTCTTCACCCCAAGAATCTAGCGTATAGTAGGCACTAAATAAATGTTTGTTGAATGAAATAAAGAACATACCAGGAAACCTTTAAAAAGGCAATTGATTTCTTTCTCTTAAAAAAAAGGTATGGGGGCGCCTGGGTGGCGCAGTCGGTTAAGCGTCCGACTTCAGCCAGGTCACGATCTCGCGGTCCGTGGGTTCGAGCCCCGCGTCGGGCTCTGGGCTGATGGCTCAGAGCCTGGAGCCTGTTTCCGATTCTGTGTCTCCCTCTCTCTCTGCCCCTCCCCCGTTCATGCTGTGTCTCTCTCTGTCCCAAAAATAAATAAATGTTGAAAAAAAAAAAATTAAAAAAAAAAAAAAAAAGGTATGGAAGCATCCAATTTTAAGAATCACTGTCAAGATTTCTACCACATTATGCTTTAAGAGAGAGTCTGTTATTAAAAAAAAAAAATCCATCTTATAAAGTTAAAATTTTACCTTTATGTTTTCGTAAAAAATCAATGCTCTTCTGCAGAACAGTAGATTTGTCCATCTTCCTAGCATTACCAGGAAGCATGGATCCCAGTTCTTTAATGAGAACATTAAATTGATCTCTACGTTTCTTTTCAGATTTGTTTCTAGATACTCTGATGAAAAAGAAAAGCAGTTTTCAAACAATCCATTTGATGACACACATAATTTAATACAATGCTCACTTCGGACACAACTACAAATCATGTATTCTGTCAATATAGTGGTAGTAAGTATTTATCCACAAGTTACCAACAATGTACAGTTAATTTGGGCAGTAATTTTCTTCTCAGTTAATCACTAAAGAAACTTACATATTAAGCATTTAGCATATATGTTCTTAGAAAAATGCCAATAAGACAAACTTCATTCAAATCTCAGGTTTTATTTATTTAACTTATTTAATACAAATACCAAGTATTTGTATTTTCTTTAGTAAGTTATTATGAATATTACTGAGATGCATTTGTGAAAGTGCATATAATGTGCATATAATTATTCAAAATTACTAAGTAGGAGAGTTATCCATCTCCTGTAAGTTTTAAATTACAAACAAATCTAAAAATGAAAATCTCTCTACCCTCAGGCTTATCCATATAGCCTTCCACTTTATTTCATTATTCCAGCCTCCACCACAGAGCTATAACCAAATGTCTGCATATCTCTCTCTCCATTAGGCTGTGTACTTCTTGATGACAAAGCCCCAATTTTTTCATCTAAGCACTTAAACGTAACAACAAACAGTAAGCACTCAAAATATGCATGCCAAAAGAATAATTAGTACTATTTTATGTGAAGCAGCTAACCAGTAAATAAATACTAAGTGGCACCATGACCTTCAGACAAGTAAATACAATTATTTATAGACCAATTAATCATTCTATGATTAATGATTCTATGATTAAAGCAGACCTCTGCTTTGTGAAGTCAGATTTTTTTTTTTTTTAACATAAGCATCATGCCCAGTGCAGAGCTCAACGTGGGGCCTGAACTCACAACCCTGAGATCAAGACCTGAGCTGATATCAAGAGTCAGATGCCTAACTGACTGAGCCACCCAGGTGCCCCTGAAGTCAGATTTCTTAATTCTGTAGAGGGAAAAAATATAATGGCTCAAATCTCTTAAGAAACGTAAGATATTAAACTGACTCCATCAAACAGCGAGTGCTTGCTATAGGAACAGAGACTATGTTAATAAAGGCTAAGGATACTGGGAAAAGACAACCTCTTTCAAGAAATTTATCTAATTCCTATGGAAATGCAGAGTACTGAACTTGTGTACTGAATGGAGTCACAGAGGCTGAGAAAAGGGTGTGGTAGTGGGGTAGATGTATGCATGGCATTACAGGTATAGGAAACTTACCCAGGAATGAACTCCTGTCACAAGTAATTCAACCTGGCTAATATGGTCAATGGATGGGCTTTCTGTGCCCAAGTATACTAGAGTTGTGGCGGTGGGTGAGGAATAAATAAATACTGGAAAAAATCATAAAGTTTTTATGTTACATAAAAGGATTTTAATTTAATCCTGAAAGCCAGGGGAAGTCACTGAAAGGTTTTAAAGCAAAGGAATGACGTGAACAGAACTGCTTGTTGACCATTCTGGCATCACAGTGATGAAAAGATCGAGGCTTGGTAAAACAAATTCATTTAGCAAATACTCATGAAAATTTATTGTATGGCAAACAAGCCTAGACGTCAGGTGACCATTTAGGAGGCAGCCGCAACATACTAGCCTATAAACCATGGCAGTGGCAGTGTTAACAGAGCAGTGTGGGTTTGAGGGTTAAGAGGCAGATCTATCAATTCCAGGTAAATCAGATCTGGTTTGCAGTAGGGAAGCAAAAGGGAAATATAAGAGGATTCCCAAGTGACTGATAATGCTGTTTATTAATGTGAGATATAACATGTGATACTGGTTTTGGTGCACAGATGGTTTGCAGAATTTAAATATGATGAAATTGCCTGTTTCACATTTAAAAAGACATACACAAAAGACTTAGATATGCAGATCTAGTTATATTCCTTTAGAAAAGAGTAAGAAATAAGCATCTGAAAATTAGCATATATGAAGTATCTGAACACACGGACAGAGGTAAAAATAAAAGCCAATATTCATGGCATACTTATGTGCCAGGCACTACTGTAAGCACTTATGAAATCTCATTAATTCCTATGAGGAAGACTTTATTACTTACAACTTTTCATTTTACAGGTGACAACTGAGGCATAAAGAACATGCCCAGGGTCATACAGCTACCATGAAGTAGTAATTCAAACCAGACATTTTGATTCCAGAGGAAGAAAATACACAGAAACCAAATATTGCCAACTCTACTGTTGAATCGTAACCACTAACGCAAACTTCACTTCATTGTTACATTTAGGCTGGAAGTTCTCAGCCCTTGTAAGGACCTCACTGACAACAGGCCACAGAGGTTTCATTTTGGAGGTGGGTATAAAACTCCCTTTGTTCTTGGTTCAACACTAAGGTACTTTAACTCATCATAGTTTCAGTCAGAGTTCAGTGTGGTTCTGCTTAATTATGACAATATTGTGAGATTCTCTGTCTTCCTCCAGTGTCTTCCAGAGCCACAGTATTTCTGGTTCCCTAAAAACATGATCAAACCTTCAGAGTGTTCGAAAATAGGATACCCTTAGCTACCTTATCTATCTATAAACTTGGCCTTCAACACTGTCCAAGTCAATTCCTTAGAGTTCTGCTTCTTTTTTCAGGCAAGACTGATTATTCCTATCTTAACAGATTTTATCTCTATCCTAAGGTATTTTGTAAAAACTTTCCTCCACCAGATTGAGGTTGAGGGATACGGGTTGTCCTATATATTTTTAGCTTCAAATCCAGGTCTTTTTATTTCCTGGAATACACTACATAGTTGTCTTCAAAATCTTCTTCTTAGATTTTAATCATTCGTTAGAATATTCTGCAATTTACCCGGTTATTGTGAATATTTTTCTTATCCCACTACCTTTTTTTTTTTCCTTTTTGCTGAATACAGACATTTAGTAACTATTACTTATTACATGTTTATCTTTGTACCTGTGTATAATACTACAACAACGTCTACCCTTGTCTAAGCACCCACGTAGTTCAACACAGCTGGAAAAAAACACCCAGAAAGTGCTTACTGCCCACTCTCAGTGACTACAAACTGCTATAATGCTACCCGGAGCCTCCCTCTCCTAATACTATAATTAACTGTCAAGCCTCCTGTTTAAGGCAGCTCACATCAACACTACCATGGCTCTAGATCTCACTCCCTCACCTCCACGATTTACCTTCCCTTCTACTGGAGAATAAAGGCATGTGGAGGACACAGGAGCCTACCCTGAAAGAACTCCCAATTGCCAAAGCTGAAACAATTTGAGCAACAAAATAAAACAGCACTACAGTATAACTTAAACTATAAAATAAATATACATGAGTTCATACAGACATAAACGAATGGGAAGGACACAATTTTTTTACAGAAGTATTTCAAATATATGTAGATATCCCCTTCTATGGGAGGTGGAGCTTAATTCCCCCCATCACTACTTTGAAGGTAGGCTACACTTAATAACTTGCTACCAAAGAATAGAACAAGTTCAGGGGAAAACAGTAACTACAAATGTGAATCCAGGCAAATCCTACCTTAGCCAAGTGATGAAGGTTAACATCCTTAGTGATGTCTTATGGATATTACACACTCCAAATATGATGTGATGAGAGGAGCACTTTTACAGGATAACCTTATTAATTTATAAACTGCATACTGATATTCTAAGCTTTTCCGCCTTGCTAATATATCTAAGCTCTTAAGACAGACAGCTTTTGGAAATCACTATTTACTTTTATATTTACTTATTATTCATTTAATTACTATTTTGCATCTTAAGATGAACTACCTTTTTGCTTTGTCCTTGTCATCTTCTTCCACCAACCCATCAAATATACTACCATCTTCTCTAAAAGAAAAAAGAAAGTCGACAGAGAAAATAAGAGCAGACTCATTAAGCAACAGCAATACCAAAATGACATGTGAATCAAATCAGTTACATCCTAGAATTTTTCTAAAATTAAAGGATAGTACAAATTCAAATTCAACTAACTGCTAACCTGTTTCCTAATAAATATTAGAAAACTAAAGTTTATCCATGTTTACCTAAATTTTTAAAAAATTTACCACAAATGTGAATTTTAAAACTACTTACTTAGCTTACTGTAAATATGACATGAAAAAATCAGAATTTAATTTAACCGGAGGTTAATACCTTGTTTCAGACTGTTAGTAATCAGCGAAAACTACAGACAGTCATTGTATCTGCCATCATATAAAAATTACTTCATTTGAAATTATCTTTAACAGCATAGTTTAAAAAAATTATTTTGAGACATATTAATAAAACCACAAATTGCTCATGAGCATCACAACATCTAGCATTTAACTTACATTAATACATTTCATTCATTACTGATTCATTTGACAAATATTTATTAGTACTCATGTGCCAGGATCTATTCTGAACATGAATACAGAGCAGTTAATCAGACACAGAGGTCCCTGCTCTCATATGGCTTATTTTCTAGTAGACCAAAACAAATCAACAAGGGAATATTGACAAGTTTTCTTTTTTTTAAGGGGAGACTTTAGTTACTGCAGTGTTACTTTAGTCTCAGTAGTAAGGGAAGGACTTGCTGAGGTGGGGAGATCTAAGCTGAGAGCTAAGTGACAAGAAGAGGTTGGTTATGGGAAGATCTAGGGGAACAACATTTTAACAAATGAAATCAAGAGCCCTGGTGGCTAACCCCTTAATCTAAGTAGCAATATTAAATAATTTCAGGTGACTCAGGAGTTTTACGTGAATTCACTATTCACTACTTTAATCACACCTTTCTAAGGCCTATAAAGGCACACAGAACGTATGCTGGACCCATTGTTGAGAATATCTGCCAATTTTGTATCACAGAGGTCCATATCTGGACTTTCCAGGTTCCATGTGTGCACTGCAACTTAGGAAAACTTCTGTATGTATATGCATTTTATTGAGGAGAGAGTCCATAATTTTAATGATATTCACAGAAATAATGAACTCTTATTAAAAACTGCTGTTATGTCTGAACACAGATGTTATCTCTAGATGTTGTATCATCTAGAATGGGAATTGGCAATCACTGAGAAGCATAATACCACAATCATATTTAATCTCTCAGGAGCAGTGAAGGAACATCCTTTCTGAGGAGACAACTATACATAGAGCCCACCTGAAAATATGGCATAGCCCAAAACTATGGCAGTGCTGCAGGCAGGCCTCTCTAAGGAAACTCCTTGCCCCTTAGGTCTTAAGTTCTGGTTAGAGTATTTATCTTCACTGTTTATCTCACAGGAAAGGGAGACAGGCTGGCCCCAGACGTCAAGTCACTTCTGTATACAACTCTAGCTACAAAACTTTTAAAGAATCCCCTATGGAAGAATCACACAGTACACTATAATAAAAATACAGGAACTTTAGTGTCAGGCCAACATAGGTCATAATTCCAGCTCATCACTTAACTATGTGACCTTAAACAAGTTATTCAACCTCTCTGACCTATGTTTGCCTCAGCTGTAAAATCTCATGGAATTATTGTGAAGTTAAATGAAGCAACATATGAAAAGTACTCTACACATTACCTATCAAAGACTAAGAGCTTAAAATATGTTACTGTATGTCATCAAATTAAGAACACCATTGACTTTTATAAAGACTTGTCAGTATTTCATATGCCACCAAGAAAGAAAAAAAATGCTACCAATTAAACTATGATAAGGCAATTGTAAGATGAATCTCAGTGTCACTGTTAAAATGTAAAAAAAAAAAAAAGTCTTAAAATCAAAGAAGCAGGTTTATCATTTTCCCAAGAATATGATTCAAAGATTGTAATTTCAACTAATAAAATCCTAATTATAGCTACCACTTATCAATCTCAATTACTAGAATGCTTAAAGACATGGAGTTAGCCCCAACAGATAGATACGGAGAAAAAGGACAACACATTAAGGAGAAAAAAGATTCCATAAGGTGCCAGGGAAACATGTGCCAACTATCACAATTTCTCTCAGAGCAGCTCTGACCAAATCAAACTCAAAATTACAGTTCAAGATCTGTTTAGGACACAAGCCATACACTGGACTTTGGCTATAGATAACATTAACATATCTTACTATTACACTATGTTTACTCAATATAGAAACTGAATGTAATAGGAATTATGTTTAAGCATGAAACTCCGTATCAGTTTGATAGAGATCATTACTCTAATAATAAATTTTAAAATACCTTTATAGGATTCAAAATAAAGAGTCTCTAAAAACATACCTGTCGACAATCGAGCTCATTTTACTACAGCTTACGGTAAACAACATAACATATTACGTTTTCGTCTTGTGGTAGACATTTGTACTTCTCCTTGGGTGGAAAGAAAAATACATAGTCATTAGTTTTCAAAAAAAAAAAAATTAGTCTACAAACAGTAATGTTGAGAGACACTTTATGTTATCATCATAGAGAATTCAAATGTTTTGGCTTGTACCAAAGGCTGAAATATTTTCAAGCAAATACCTTTAGCTGGGGCATATTTAAGGCTTTTTCCCTTCTAAAAAAGGAATACAGGGGAAAAAAATTGAGGTTCATAATTAATTTTATATTATAAAATAATAAAGGCTACTCTTAACATTTAGTATATATATTAGACTATGAAACTGTAAATAGGCTATAATTCAAAAAGATATATGTACCCCTATATTCATGCAGCAATTATTTACAATAGCCAAGATATGGAAACAACCTAGGTGCCCACTGATAAATGAACGGATAAAGAAGATATGAGATGTGTGTGTGTCACACACACAAACACACACAGACACACACACACACAGTGTGGAATACTACTCAGCTATAAAAATAAAACCTTGCCAATCTTGACAACATGGATGAACCTCGAGGGTATCATACCAGGTGAAAGAAGTCAGACACAGAAAGACAAATTCCATATGATTTCACCTATATATGAAATCTAAAACACAAAAAACAGAAACACTCATGAATACAAACAATAAACTGGTGGTTGCCGGGGATAAGAGGGAGGATGACTGAAACAGGTGAAAGGAAGTAAGGCTCACAAATTGCCAGTTACAAAATAAGTCATGTGAATAAAAAGTACAGCATAGGGAACATAGTCATTAATATTGTAGTAACATTGTATGTCGACAGATGGTAACTACCCTTATCATGGTGAGCACTGTGGAATGTACAGAATTACTGAATCACTGTTTATACCTGAAACTAATCTAACATTCTATGTCAACTATTCTTCAATTTAAAAATAATATCTAATCAACAAACATTTGTTGAAAGCCTATTTTCTATTAAATAGTATGCTAAGCTTTAGGGATAGAAGGATAAAAGTCAGTCCTTATAGGCAAAAATCTGGAACTGAATAGGGAGACAGATACCCAGATAATAGTAAGAAGGATAACGAGGGGCGCCTGGGTGGCGCAGTCGGTTAAGCGTCCGACTTCAGCCAGGTCACGATCTCACGGTCCGTGAGTTCGAGCCCCGCGTCGGGCTCTGGGCTGATGGCTCGGAGCCTGGAGCCTGTTTCCGATTCTGTGTCTCCCTCTCTCTCTGCCCCTCCCCCGTTCATGCTCTGTCTCTCTCTGTCCCAAAAATAAATAAGCGTTGAAAAAAAATTAAAAAAAAAAAAAAAAAAAAAAAAAAAAAAAAAAAAAAGAAGGATAACGAAGGTATGCAGGAAGGAGTCCAGAAATATTCTTGATGACAATGAGTTTGTCAGATAGTCTAAATTGCTATTACTAAAAATATGGTCCAGGCCGGGCAAAGGCCCTTTATCGGCAGGGCGGAGTGGTGCTACCCCAGAACTGGGTCCCACAGTGTGGGATCATTTAAGACATCAGGTTTTGAATCTCAGCCGATCACCTAGGAGACTAGGGAGACCACAGAGCAGGACAAGCCAGCTGCCCGCACTACTCTGTAAGGGCTGCCTGAACAGCGAGGTTTGAGACACCCGGTCCAGGGAGGACAGATTGGGGTACTGCCATTTTTCTCTTCATCACCAACACAGTGGGGCTTCAGGGCCCCCAGTGAAGGCAGGACCTGCTTACAACAAACCCCGCCCCTCCGTGCCTAGCAACTGCTTATCTACTGGAGTGGGACTGACACTGAGGGAACCAGATGGCCTCTCCTCCAGACAGCACAGCCACTGATCTCAAACACCAACCGACAACTGTCCTGCAGTTATGTATGTTAGTCTGGTTTTTTTGTTTAATTTTTTTATTACTATTATTTTTTTTCTCTTCTCTTTTTTCTACCCTCTTCTTTTTTTCCCCCCCCTTTGGAATCAGATTCGTAGTCTCTGATTTGACTTTTGGTCATTTCTTGTTATGTATTTTTTTTTTCTCTGCTTTGTCAGTCTGTTTAATCAGGCATTTTTATTCTTTTTACATCTTTTCTATACCTCCTTCTTTATTTTCCTTTCTCTCTTTCTGGATTAAGCCTTATAGTTTCTCTGATTCTCTGCTTGGTCTTTTTTTCCACCCCTCTCATTTTTCTCTTTGTATGGGACCAAGTCCCCTGCACTTTCCTTTTTTTTTTTTTTTAATTTCTGAACAAATGTAAGCACACCTGGTGAAAGGTCTAAACAATCCACCACCATGAGTAAGGAGGAGCTTTGTAGAAGAATGACCACTGTGATAGAGCAGCCAAATATGCAACAGCCGAGTGTAAGCAACACACTCCAAAAACGCTTCCTGAAGTGCAAGGCCCTGGACAGCATATAACCCCCTTTTCTTTAATTTTTTTTAATGGTTATTTATTTTGAAAGAGAGAGAGTACACACGAACAGGGAAGGGGCAGAGAGAGGGGGAGACAGGCTCTCCAAAGCAGGCTCCAGGCTCTGAGTTGTCATCACAGAGCTGATGCGGGGCTTGAATCCAAGAACCATGAAATCACGGACATTTAACTGACTGAGCCACCCAGGCACCTCTGACCCCTTTATAATATAGTAGTTCTCACAGGTGCAGGACACATAACAAGCTATTAAAACACATAAAAGACAGAAACCTAGCCAAAATGACGAAATGGAAGAATTCTCCTCAAAAATTCCAGGAAGAAATGACAGCCAGAGAATGGCTCAAAACAGATAGAAATAATATATGTGAACAAGAATTTAGAATAAAAGTCATAAGAGTAATAGCCAGGCTTGAAAAAACCATAGAAGACAGGGGAGAATTGAGGCAGAGATCAAAGACCTAAGAAATAGTCATGATGAATTAAGAAACACTATATGTGAGATGCAAAATAAACTAGATACAATGACAGCGAGGATGGAAGAAGCAGAAGAGAAAATAGGTAAGACAGAAGGTAAAATTATGGAAAATAATGAAACTGAAAAAAAGAGGGAAAGGAAATTACTACACCACGAGGGGAGATTTAGAGACCTAAGTGATTTAATGAAACCTAATAATATCTGTATCATAGAAGTTCCAGAAGAAGAAAACAGAGAGAAAGGGGCAGAAGGTTTATTCGAACAAATTATAGCTGAGAACATCCCTAATCTGGGGAAGGAAACAGATATCCAAATCCAGGAGGCACAGAGAACTCCCTTCAAAATCAACAAAACGGGTCAACACGACATATCATAGTGAAACTGGCAAAATGGAAAGATAAAGAGAGAATTATGAAAACAGATGAGGACAAACAAGCCTTAACCTACTAGGGTAGACACATAAAGGTAGTTAGCAGACCTGACCACTGAAATTTGGGAGGCCAGAAGAGAGTGGCAGGAAATATTCAATGTGCTGAATAGGAAAAATATGCAGCCAAGAATCTTTTAACAGCAAGGCTGTCATTCAGAATAGAAGGAGAGATAAAGGCCATCCCAGACAAACAAAAACTAAAGGAGTTCATGACCACTAGTGGAAAGCAGCAAAAGGACCAGAGATATCACCACAAGCACAAAACCTACAGATAACACAATGACACTAAATCCATACCTTTCAATAATCACTCTGAATGTAAATGAACTAAATGCCCCAATCAAAAGACCTAGGGTATCAGAATGAATAAAAAAACAAGATCCATCTGTATACTGACTACAAAAGACTCATTTTAGACATGAGGATACCTGCAGATTGAAAGTGAGGGGATGGAGGACCAACTATTATGCTACTGGAGGGCAAAAGAATGCTAGAGTAGCCATACTTGTATCAGACAAATTAGATTTTAAAAGAAAGTCTGTAACAAGAGATGAAGAAGGGCAGTGTATCATAATTAAGGGGTCTATCCATCAAGAAGAGCCAGCGATTGTAAATGCTCATGCCCACAAGAAGGAAGAACACAAATACATAAATCAGTTATTCACAAACATAAATAAATATATAGATAATAACTGTGATTATGGGGGGAATTAATACTCCTCTTATAGCAATGGACAGATCATCTAGGCAGAAAATCAAGGAAACAACAGCTCTTAACAACACACTGAACCAGATGGACTTAACAGATATATTCAGAACTTTTCATCCAAAAGCAGAATACTCATTCTTGAGTGCACTTGGAACATTCTCCAAAACAGATCACATACTGGGCCACAAAACAGCCCTCTATAAATATAAAAGGTTGAGATCATTCCATCCATATTTTCTGATCACAACACTATGAAACTTGAAATCACAAGAAAAAATTTGGAAAGTTCCCAAATACGTGTAGGTTAAAGAACATCCTACTAAAGAGTGAATGGGTCAACCAGGCAATTAAAGAAGAAATTTAAAAATACACGGAAGCAAATGAAAATGAAAACACAAGAGTCCAAACACTTTGGGACACAGCAAAGGCAGTCCTAAGAGGAAAGTACACTGCAATTTAAGCCTATCTCAAGAAGCAAAAGTCCCAAATACATAACCTAACCTCACACCTGGAGGAACTTGGCACCACCAAAGAAAGCACAAAGCCAGCAGAAGATGACAAATAATAAAGAGTAGAGCAGAAATGAACAACATAAAATCCAAAAAAAACAGTAGAACAGATCAATGAATCTAAGAGCTAGTTTTCTGAAAGAATAAACAAAACTGACAAACCCCTAGCCAGATTTCCCAAAAAGAAAAGAGAGAGGACCCAAATAGATAAAATCACGATTGAAAGAGGAGAGATCACAACCAACACCATATTATTAGAGAATTATTAGAGAACCAACACCAACAATTATTAGAGAATACTATGAAAAATTAGATGCCAACAAACTGGACAATCTGGGAGAAATGGATAAATTCCTAGACACTCACTCACACAGTACCAAAACTCAAGTAAAAAGAAATTAAAAAATCTGAACAGACCTATAACTACAAGAAATTGATTCAGTTATCAAAAATCTCCCAACAAATAAGAGTCCT